GAAATCTCACAGATCAATAATTATTTTTACGTTTAAACTTTTCAATATCTTCGCTGAAATTTTTTCACTTAATCAATTGAATTTTTGTTTCTCTCTTCCTTGCTGTATTTCTATTTTCATCAGATTTCCAAATTTGAATTTTTCCTCGCTCTATACCTTCTTTCCTTTGAAAATTTTCCTGTACATGCACGCATTTATCGATGAAACTGCAATAATAATTGAAACTTCACATACCAGTTTCCTCACGAAAGGTCACGTCGATTTTGTAATTTAATTTCAAATATTTATCTTTGACTTTATTTTGCATTTTTACGTAATTTTCTCGACCGTCAAATTATTAGTGCAATTTTACATTACTTTGGGAGTTTTTCAACTGTGCAATTGTAAGTAATTTTTTTCTAATTTACGTCAATTCTACATCAAGTTTCTCAATTTTACCAATTTTTTCAATTATGCAATTTATTTCAAGTTTGCCTAAATTTTGCATATATACGTGAATTTTGCCATTTTCTTTAATTATACAAGTTTATGTCGATTTTACTATTTATTGTCACTATTCACAATTTTACACCATTTTGCAATTGAAGTAGCGTTCATTTGAGAGTTATAACACATCAAGAACTTATCGCAGCGATACTGAGTTCGATTGCAGGATTTGAGAGCGGCAGCGCGGGGCCGTTCTCGTTAAGCTCTTAATGAGGCCGTTTCTTCGGCACTCAATGCACTCAATGGCGGCTTTGAAAGCCCAACTGGGGCCCGGAACTGAGCACTCTTCTCTTCGTGACTCTCAAGTAAATGAGTGAGTCATGGTGACCCACTTTGGCGACTCAAAGTTAAGGCGACTAAGTAACATGATGAATCACTTGGGCCACTCTAATTTACCGTGACTCACTTCGGTGACTCAAAAGCATGGCGACTCAAAGACATGATGACTCACTTTGGCGACTCAAAGACAGGCGTCTCACTTTGGCGAATCAAAGACAGGCGGTGGCTCAAAGACATGACGACTCATTCCGGGAATGCAGTTCGGTGGTTCTCAAAGGACAGCCTTTGCGGTTCACTCGGTTATAGGACGCAGATTTCGACGCAGTATTTAAGACGAAGATTTTGACGCAGGATGCAGGGCGCGGCGCCATATCCTCTGCTCGTTAGTGAGCAGCATTCCTCCATGCCGCAGCCGCCGTAATGGTCGCTCACACGAGCAGGTCTCTGCTCCCACAATATATCGGTGTTGAAAATTAAATGAAGTGTATGTAAATAAAAAGGGTTTTCAGATGGTATTTTTTCGGACAAATTTAGGGTTTTAGCTTTCATCAGTTGCGTTGGCCAGCTCAAATTTATGAAGGCGGTACTTCCTTATTAAATTCTAACAAGTTGTATGAATTTTTTATGCCGGAACCTACAAATATACTAGTATATATTGAGTTTTAATCACTTCTTGGCCTTTTTGTCCTCTAAATTGGCCGTTTTTTAGGCCATCTGACAACCCTATAAATAAATAATGGAAATACAAAAATTTCTACATTTGAACCTAAACGTTAATAAACACATTAATTTACAGGTATGTACATGAATGTTGACACTTGAGTAATGTACTTTAGGCACACACACGTAAACATTTTGAGAACATACACGTTCTCGCAGAATTTTGGCTTGTAGTGTACACATGTACATAGTATTTCGTACTATAGTCTATACGAGTACTCTAATTACTATTATAAGTTTTCAAATTTATCAGAACTGGGTCGACTCTTGTACCTTAAAGACCTAGATATACATACTATTCTCCTTGTAAGTATTCTGTAGTTAATTTATATAGGTGCTAGATATTTCACATATGAATATATTCACATGATGTCGCACATCTTTTAATAGCAGTGTTGTTTTCCTTCAAGATATTTTTGTGTACGACGTTATCCCATTTTTTCATCGACGTTCAAAAACGTCATCGACATTTTATTTTTATTACGACGTCATCCCTCGATCACAAAGATCAATAATGGTTAATATCAATAACGATCAATACCGATCAATATCGATAACGAACAATAACTGTAAAGGGTAGAAATAGTTTGTTATTTTAACGTAATGCGAGGCGATAATATTTGTTACAAAATGGTTTTTTATTTTGAATTTGTTGTCATTTTAGTTGAGAGGCCACCGAAAGAAATGTGCGGAATGCTAAGGTTCGTTGATTATTGTTGCGTGGAAAGCCGAAGCGGAGGTATGTGCTGTGTTAGGATGTCAAAATGTAAATATATATGAGAATGAAGTAGATGCGGAATAGATTTGTGAATATTTAGGGTTTAGAAGTTTGCAATGTTCGTTTACGATCACTTATTTATTTATTTTATTTGTTTCTTTTAGGAAAGAGCCTTAAATCTACAGTTAGACTCAAGTCAAGACTTAGTCTCGCAAGCAAGATAAAATGATGTGTTAATGTGTTGATATTAATTATTGATTATTTAATGTGTTTATATGAAAAGTGTTAATAATATATTTTGACATGTATTCATCAATATCCAGAACCTATACGATCATGTAGGCTAGTTGGGTGTTCTGAGAGCCCCAACATAACGATCAATAACGATAACGCTCAATAACGATCAAAATCGATACCGCTCAATAACGATCAAAATCGATAACGATCAATAACGATCATAACGGCAGTGGGGAGCTCTCAGGTATTTCTAATCCTTTTAAGGAGGATCCAACCCTCACCCCATCCCTCTCCCCCCACCCTCATTCCATCCACCCTCATCCTTCCCTTAGTTGAAGTCATGTTGAAAAGTTGAAATTTTTATCTAATGAAGGTTTTCTCAACTTAATGGGAAATTTTGAAATGGTGATATATCATCGCAAGTTTTATTTTTCTCAACAATTTTATAAATTTACATTCGGATTGTCATTGAATTTTTATCCTATCCGATATATTTTGATATGTAGTAGTTATATTGTACATACTTGTATAATACACATATATTCGTGTATAATACACATATATTCAAGAGGTTTTCCATAGATGTTCAGCGGAAGTTGAATGAATTATCAATAAATAAATCAAGTAACATGAATAAAATACTATTTTTTGAAAAAATAGTATAATTTTTTTTGCACTCGATTTCTACAACAAAAATAAAGAATTTATATAATTCGAATAAAAAAATTAAGTGACATATATTGCTCCCAGAAAAATAATAATCAAACTTGATACATGAAAAATATTTCATTTCTTAGCCCAAATTATTTTACTAAGAAAAATAATAATTTGCATTGCAACATATCCACTTATCTCCACATCCAGAAAAATGAGTGAGATTTTGTCCAAGTATCGATGCACTGTTGCTCCTGTGTGGGTCATCTCAACCCAGTTTGTCTCACCAAACGACGTATCAGTGCTACGCCTGCTTTATGCTCGTGCTGTGGTATACATGGTCACTATTTGGACAATATTACCCACTCATTTATCTGAGTGTACGCGCTGTAAGTCTGCTGGGCCTGTAGACCAGCGGGCCATTTCCGGGGCTACATGGGTCGGAAATGGGACAATTATGTGAGTCAGAAATGGGACGATGTTCCTGGCTGTGAAATTATTGTCCAAAATACCTCAGCATATTGAAAATAATTATTCTTTTACAAATTAAAATATTGAACAATTTTGAAACTTCGTCATAATGCAATTGAATTGTAAAATGTACAATTGAATTATATTATATGCATTTTAATTTTGTAATTCACAATTGAAGTGTAAAATATACAATTAAATCGCATAATATACGATTTATTTGTATAAAACAATATATTATTGAATATTGTAGTGGAAATTGTTGTCAGTCTCGCCCTGTGACAGCTTCTGGTAATTCTTATCGTGTTTCTTTATGTTTTGAGTGATATTCAAACAAATGAATGCATTTATTGTTCATACAAATTCATGTAATTCATTGTATGAATGTATGTTATAATTATAACTTAGTATTAGCAGGAATTATCGTGTATCCAGATATTCACACATATTCACACATGATATTCACACATGATGAATGTTTCGTAATGTTGAAATTTCGCAGTCCTTACACAATTCTCATTAATACTAAAATTTTACAGGTGTCATCTAGATGAATAATTCATTATTCAGTCACATTCAACACCTTTGTTCAACATTGTTCTATGCAAACACGATCTTAGAATAGACAAAAAATATCGTTGAGTTAATTTAAATTTAAATAAGAAATAAATCAAATAATTTAAATAATTTATGACAATGAGTTTCATATGACACAAATCGCTTGGCTGTAATCACTGTAATCTGTTCTTGAATAAATTGAATCTTTATTTCATATGATACATTTTAGTTTAAATTCATTATTCAATTAAATTAGTTTCAATTCATTAGTTAGTTTAATTAGTTTCATTCAATTCAAATTCATTAAATTAATTAAATCAGTTTCATTAAATTCATTAAATTCAATTTTGAATGAAATTGAAATCAATTAGAGATATGCACTTCATATAGAAATGTCATGCAGCAATTTAATATTGAAATTAGATTGACTATCTTCAATAGCTGTCAGATTCGTAAAACTTTTTGAAACTGTTATGGTATCCTGAAAAAGATATATTATCAATTTAAAAGAATAACGATAAAATTTTCTTTAATATAAGAACAGCTGCATTAATATTTTTCTTCTCAAATAAGAAGTTCTCAATAATTTTTTCACAATAAAATTTTAAATATCACTGCCACATCGTTCTAATTATAACAAGGTTTCTGAAATTCTCCTTAATATTCCAATATTTTTCATATATTTAAAATGCAATAACAATAGATATAGTAAAGCGCTCTATCAATTTTAATAAAAATATAACTCATTACTCACTGCAGTGAGTGACAGAGAGCGCATTTTCTCGTCCACGAAAACTTGAGGTCACGGACAGACGGACGGACAGACAGACGGACGGACGGACGGACGGACATGGCGAGCACAATAGTGCATTTTTTCCATAAATGAGAAAATGCGCTAAAAATAGCAGCCCCGTAAAATTCGTAATTTGCAGCCTTCACTCATTGAAATGAGTGTAACAATGTCCAACAACTATACATTTTTTTGCCCTTTCTTGGCTGGGTTTTCCTGACCATTTTTGGTCCGACCAAAGTGATTATTGAGGCCAAAAAAAGAGTCACTATTTAGACAATAGAACCATTTGCTTGCCTGAGTGTTAGAACCGTCTAAGCTAATGTCCCAACGATCATATATATTATTATTCATTATAATAGACACGCATTCTAATCTGATTATATCACATCTATAAATAGACATATAGAGTGCACATAGAGTTTGTTAGTTCTAATCCCTGGGGATCTAAGTTATTATAATTTTCTATTCGTACAACGGTATATACTTTTACATTATAACTTTTTTACAATTATGATATGCAAATAATGGGATATGCATGTATCATTTGTTTGAAATTGGAAGAAATTGAATTTTGAGTTTCTTCTCACAGAAATTCTGCTTTTTAAAAATATTATTGGAGAGCGAACTGCATTTTTGATCCATTTTTTGAGCCCACAATCAGTAAAATGAGTGAGTCATTGTCCAAAAAAATCAATGCATTTTTCGCTTGTGTGTGTGTCACCCTGACCCAGTTTGGAGCGTATCAGTGCTACGTTATGTGGGTAAGCACTTATGATGTGGGTAAGCCGCTCGCTATGTGGGTAAGGAAGTGCGTCACTTTTTAGACAATATGATCATTAGGTATCTTGAGTGTATACGTTGGTATATAAATATATCAGTTGGAGTTCATGGAGTCCGTATATGGTTAAATCCATGGAGTTTTTTGGAGGTTCGCAGGACCGACGAAAATCTCCAAGTCGAGGATGTCGTAGAGGCGCTCCTTGGAGTACCCCGGCACCAGCACGCCTGGGGGGGGGGAATGTGTAATATATAAAATATAATATACAATATGTGATATATAATATATAATGTATAATATATAATATACAATGTATGATGTATAATGTATCATATATAATATATAGTTTATGATATATGATATATAATATATAAATATGGACTAAATTTATAAATATAACGAATATGAAAGTGAATTTTAAACCTTAAATAATAGAAGGAACCACTTTTCTTTTAATTCATGAAAGATAATCCTAATCCTTGATTAATATATGTCATTCTTATTCTAGAAAAGGAATTTTTAACCTTTATACCCTTTTTTAACTTTTAAATAATAGTTCTTGAATAATGGAAGTCATTCTTATTCCTCAATTAATGGAAGTCAAGTTATTCTTCTTCGCATCGCTGTTTGCTTACAGATTCGTGCTAAATATCAATTATGGTTGGTACTATATATTTTCTCAATTACGACAATAGTTAAGTTTTTTATCATGAATATATAATCAATAATTCAATAATATTATAATTGTTTTCATAATAATCAATGTTCAATTTTTCATATATGAGTTGTCCCGCGAAGTTGAATTTAGTGTTTAATCCTCGGATAATTTGGGATTTTTTCGGAAAGATAATAGTGCAAATTATTTATTTGCAATAATTTTAATTTATTGAAAAATAGAATAATTGACAAGATATATGATCTCTCTATAATTCCTCTCTATAATTCACTTGGATGTCTCTATTATTTTATAAATGTTTTTCTTTTTTTCTTTTGAATTGTAAAAAAAAAAATCCTTTGTGAATAAAAAATCAATCAATTAATCCTATGTCAGCTTTCACTCAAAAAATATCACATAAGTGCTCAAATATATGGCAATTGTCTCACTCAGACCGAATACAATCTCGTTAATTGATTCATTAATGAGCTTACGTCGTTAATTAGATGCATTAATTAGCTAACATTTATTGGCCTGCCTGGCGCTCAGGTGTTGAAATAAGTGACGTATGTTAATTAATGTTGATGTTAATGTTAACGTTAATGTTAATGTTAATGTTAATGTTAATGTTAATGTTAATGTTAATGTTTATGTTAATTAGGGACGTGTGTTAAAAAAATTTGGATTCGCTTAAATATTTTTTCTTAACTTTAAAAAATGTATGAGAACTTCAAAACTTTTTAGAACTTTAGAATTTACGCTTTAGAACTTCTGATGCGCTGACTCTTGCGCCTCTAAATTTAGATAAAAAAAATACCCGGCAAATGCCGCGATATAACCTTCCCTTTGGCGTTATAGCTATTGTGTTAATCTAATTATTTATCGGGCAGTTTGGTAATTTAATTGTCTTTAATTTAACACATGAATGATCTGTTATTGAAAATTAAAGTTTTCATACGAGTAAATTTAACTATATTTTCGTTTAATTCATCAGAAAAACTATCAGCTGAAATTTTTAATATAACTTCGTGCGGGCTAGAATGGCTGCATCTTTGTATGTGAAACTGGATAATTTTAATGGAAAGCATCCAAAATAACAGAGAAGACCGATCATCGCGCTCATATTGAATTTAGTATATAATTTAAATATTAAGTATATAAATTTTTTTATTTAACTTTCTTCATTCCAGTCACAATTTGAAATATATATCATATTCGCTATAACAGTGAAAATATATTACTTTATATGACATTCATCGCTCTCTCTGCAACAAAACTTGTACCTGAAGGTCTTTCACTACCCCAGGAAAGGTAGGTTGTATGAGTAGGAATGGTGGAGTGGTCGTTTTTCATACTTACATGTATAATATATGCTCATTAAATATAAATAAGTATCAATTTATGATATATATATAAATTACTAGAACTCGCTCAGCACCATAATTTTGTACGTGTAGGTATTGCCCTGCACTAGTACGCTGGGCTTTTTCCATGAAAATATGTAATATATACTCATATATTATAACTATACAATCCACTTTCTACTAATTTTGCACCATGACGTGTGCGTCTAGCCCTCCTCCTGTTCGCTGTTTGACGTAGCCGTGCGCCATATCGTCGTTCTATATAGATATATAGCACGGAGATAGATATATGGCCGTGCTCCAAATCTATGTACAATATCGTATTCTCAAAATACCATTCATAACATATATCACTATACGAATTGGAATTTAGATCCGCATCAGCTTCCGATTACTGGAATCAGAAGCTGCCACGCCTCTGAATTTTGTCAGGGTAGCGAATAACATTCTTGACTCACTGTGCACCATGAGCTTGTACTTGTATGTCCTACACGTACAATATCATATTTTCACTATATAATTAAAATAATATATCACTATACCATAACATCCTAGACTCACTGTGCACCATAAGTTTGAACTTGCAGGTCTAGCACTCCACTAGTTCGCTTGTTGAGGTGACCGTGTTCAACATCTACAAGTCCTACATATACAATATCATATTTTCACTATACTATTGAAAATGTATATGAAAACAAATAGATTCTTGACCCACTTAATTTGCACCATGAGTTTGTACTTGTGTGTTAATGTTAATCTTATACTCTTATACTCGTCCAGTTCGCTGGCCCAAGTCCTACACGTACAACGACATATTTTCATTATACAATTAAAACTATATATCACTATGCTTAGTAATAACATCCTAGACTCACTCTGGACCATGAATTTGTACTTGTGTGTCCTACATGTACAATATCATATTTTCCCTATATTATCAACATAATGTATCACTATATAACATCCAGGACTCACTCTGGACCATGAGTTTGTACTTGTATGTCCTACATGTACAGTATCATATTTTAACTAAATAATTAAAATAATTTATCATTATACCACAACATCCAAGACTCACTCTGGACCATGAGTTTGTACTTGTAAGTCTTGCCCTCCTGCAGGTCGCCCGTCGTGGCAGCAGGTCTTCTCCTGACCAGCAGGCCCGTTGAAGGGTGCAGGGCAAACCTGTGGTCCCCCGACGGGCTGAAGAGCTGGTACGTGAAGGAGGCGCACGGGCAACGGGCAGACTCGCCTGGGCCCAGGGGGCACGTCAGGCCCAGGTCGTCGTCTGAGGCCCACGCCCGGTATGTCGAACCTGGGGAAATAAGAATGTTTCTGTGGCCTAAGTTCTAGAAAATAATACGTTAAGAGGAGCGTCTTGGTCCAAAATCGACAATTTTGGAGTTTCCTGTTTTTAGTTTCATCTTAAAGCTGACATTCTGACCTATCCAGCGGTGCCAAAACCACCTCTGTACGTTGATTTATGCGTTCACGACAGATCCCGAAAAAGAAGAGGGTGGGGGAGTTCTTTCACATTTAAGATGGGAAATAATTCCCGCAGTGCACTATAAATCACTTGTCCACAGACACTCAGCTCCAGTAACCTTGCTGCAGCCGTACGGGGTGGTTATTGTGTCGTCGCTCGTACCATCCTTGACAGAAATTGAGCTCCAGTATCGTCTAGTCTCATTCCTTGCAGTGTTGAATGCCGATTTCGAGGCGCCCGGGACTTTGTCGGGCTCTACTGAACATTCACACTTATTTTAACCTATTTCCTCCTACAGTTTCGAAGCTACAGCAATGAAACATGAACCATTCGATTCGCAAAGAAAAGTTATACAAATTGTTGTAGGAGGTTTTTTTCTAATTTTGTTATAGTTTGAATTTTATTTTGCAAAAGGGGGGGGGAGGGAATGGGGTAAAATCGACAAATTTCCGAAAAATTTACGAAAAATGCTCCCACAACCACAAAAACGGGAATTTCAAAAACACCTACATCAGTTTGTTAATATGGTCTTTACGCATCGAATGATATGTGTCTCGATGTTGTAGCTTGAAAATCCTATGCCCGCGGATATTTCTAGAGTACCCCCTTTTTTGTCCGTTTTCTATGAATTTCTCGTTTTCTTTCATTTCTTCGAAAAATTCACATGAACAAAAAAGTCTTAGAATTCCGTTTTACGTACGTGTATTAAATTTCGAACTGATCTGTTCGTAAATAAAAAGTTCTTTTTCGGACCAAGACGCTCTCCTTAAATTGATCGAAAAAATATTTGCTTATTTCATTCGCTTATTGACTACACCTAAAAAATAAAAAGTTTTATCCGAATAACGATGCACTTTTATAAGTTTTATAAAATATTTGATTGTAATCGAAAATCTATTGAAATACTACATTATTTTGAAATCGAATTTTTTTTCATTTTTTGAAATAGAAAAAATATTTGCGTATTTCACTGAATTACTGACTACATCCAGAAAAATAAACCAGGTTTCGTCCAAATAACGATGCTTTTTTGCCCTTATGTGAGTCATCCTGTCCTAGTTTGGCCAGTAAAAAAGACGTATCGTCAGTGCTACTCTCAGCTAGAGATGTCACTGATTTTGTCACTATTTATAGATAAATTTTGTCACTATTTAGACAAAATGGCCCATCCATTTTTTTAGTGTACCATAATATCCTGGCTTTGCATCTGAAAGAAATTCATTCAGCTTGGCCTTGTGACTTTTTGTCTGTAGCAAGACTTTGTTTGTAAAATATAAAATTGTATTTTTTTTCCTACACTTGGAACTCACTATATCGCATTCGTTTTTTATGCCTTATTATTAACTTCATTTTTGTTAATTTTAATTAATGTTTTAGTTCAGTTTAACTTTTTAAAGATTCTAAACAAATTTACATGAATTGACTTACGACCGAAGGCTGATTCCCTTTTAAAAGTCTTAAACTGATGGAGAAACATGAAAGTAACCTTCACCATTACCCCTGCTAATTTTTTTCGAGGTAGGCCTCAACGCAAAGTGATTAAAACATCAAAGTGATGTTTTAGTGATTAAATGGTAAAATTTTAAAGATTACAATTTTAAGTGATTAAAATATCAAAGTGATGTTTTATTCTCAACGTGCTTTGAGAATAAAACATTTAATTCAATGAGGCTCGTTTACTGGAAGTCATATTTTATCCCGGAATGTATTTCCGTTTTCATAATTCATAAAAACCACAGCTTCTCATTAACTTATTTTAATTCACTAGAGTCCTTTCATTACAAGAACCATTTTAATCTCCTGCTTAATAATCACGAGCATTTTTCCAAGCGCGTAATCTCGAGATCTCACAGAGCTAAGAGGCACCACTGAGCATTGCTATCATTTGCAGCGACACAAACCTTCTTTATCGACGCTTCAGGGAAATGAAAACCATGAGAAATTCAAGCGCCAGTCACATAATCTCCGGTCCCTTGACTCAAACGGGCCATCTCTTCTGCTATACCCATAAAAACAAGTGGATCTTATTTGTCCAATTGTGACGCACTTTGTCGCACTCAGCACGATCAGAGAGTGGACTTGAGACTGATGCGTCCTTATGCTCTGACAAACTGTGTCTGGGCATACTGAGTGTTAGAGAAGTACATCCAGACAAGGGTACAAAGTGCATCATTATGTGGCAAAGTATCACCTATTCCTCTGAGTGTAGGAGAAAAGCATTCTCATCGGACGGAATATTGGCAGATGTTCCTTGCCTCCAAGTTTGGGGTCAAAACAACATCGTATATTCTGAGCGTTTGAAGTCATAAATGTAATTTTTTTGAGGAATCAAAAATGTGTTTATATTCAATAGGTATTCGAATATGGTATTTTGGTTTTATATAAATGGTGTCCAATCAGAAATCTCATCGTACATAGCAGCTCATCGGAACCCCAAATACTCGCCCACCCTAACAAAATTTTAAGGGCGGGCGCGACTCTGCATTAGGGACCACCTAAGACTCAGGGAGCACGTAAATCAGCTTCTCTTTCTCCGCCTCCGCTCACAGGGTATGAATGGCAGCCTCTGGGCAGTTTACAAGCTCGGTATGACTCGGCTCAGCCAGCCCTCCTCATGCTCCCAGGCGACTATAAAGTTGGGAAGGAGATTCTGACCAGAAACTAATTTCGATCGGTTGACCTATTAGTCCCAGAATAACTTTGCTCCCACTGTAGTAACTATTCGGCCGGAGTCTGGGTGTTCCCCGAGTTTTGATAGTGCAATCGACGTTTCAATATTTTCGCCATATAAGTTTTAATATACGATGAAATTCAAAAAAGGCCATAAAACGTCTTTAAATTGAAATCAATTATAAGGGAGTGATTTTTGAACATTTTTTGCGCAATTTTTCCCTAACAATGAATTTCAGGATAAATTTTGCCCTCATTTAGATTCAGTACCGTCAAAAAGTATGCCAATTTCATACATGTTTATGGAGCACAGCAATAAAAGAAAAGATGAGGCTTGTGATTATGCTTGAGGCTCTGAATAAACTATATGCTTTCGTGTACAAAAAACTGTCATTAAATTTTGAGTGGGACACATTTATAATTCTGTGCATGCTATAAATAATGGATGACAGAACTGAGCAGCTCCATACGGCCCACTTGTTATACAATAAATAACTAAGTGGCCAACATTTAGATAGCCATAGTCTGACTCCATAACTGGATCTCCGGCATCACTAATCGATATTGGCTGCCATCTGATAGGATATTGGCTGCCGCCGATTGGATATTGGCTGCCAAACAATTTTATTTTTGCAAAAGTATCGAAATATTCAACAGCGACTGTTTTGGCTGGTGGGATTGCCAGAGATGGAGTGGACATCTTTTGTGTCGCTAATTTCGTGTTATTTGAAAAGTTAAGGTGCATTTGCTGTAAAACTGTTATTATTAATTATTATTATTATTATTATTATTATATTATTATCATTATTATTATTATTATCATTATTAATATTTTTTTATTATTATTATTTGTAACAAGACTTATACAAGACAAGAACTATACATGACTTTTTTTTAAATGATTCAACAGTGTTGATCTAATTAGTTTCCCACGTGTGATTAATCACCTTGTTTGTGGATAGATTAAACTGAAATGATCTTACAATCGTAATATTGTATTGTATGTAGAAATTAAGTGTTTTTACATACACTTAAAATAATTTTCAATCGATGCATGATACGTAATATCAACCTAAATAATTCCAAAGTAAATGATAATTCTAATAAAAGAAATTACACTGCATCTAAATTAACCGAAAGTGTTTAAATGTAAGAAGGGAATATTTTCATCAGACCCGTGACGTTGACAGGCACGACGGCCGTGGCGCGGTGCACCAGGAACCGCGGCGCGTAGTTGTCAACTGGGGGAGAAAAATGAAATAAGTTAATTTTAATTCATTACTAATGAAAATTATAGAGAATATTTATCAGTTGAATCTATTAATAAAACTAAATTTTAATATAAATCTAACATCTTTATATCAGTTTTGTCCACTACAAAGTTTCGAGTTCCCACGAGAATAGTGGACCCTGTTTAGTCAGTCTGTTCCACTGCAATGAAAAATCGTTTTATTTAATTATTATTTTTATTAACTGAACTTTTTATTTAAAAATATGTAATTCTAATAATTTTCAGCTACCTTACGAGTGCATAACCTACGGTATTATTTCAATACATAATAGTATTTTATTAAACATATACATATTATATATTATTATAATATACAAATTATAATATTTCACTATTTTCAAAATCAAAGTCAGTTCATCCATGAAAATTAAGTTTAATATTCATTGTCTATATCGGAGCACAAGTTCGTATAAAATTTTAATTATATCATTTTTAGTTCTAACAATAATTTATTTCTCCTAGAATATTGTGGTTCAAAGAATTTAAGAACTTATGATTTTTTTATAAATATAAGATACTCGAGATGAGCGCTATATATGCCACCACCACTCACCATTTGTGATGCTCAGTTCACCATCACCACTCACCATCACCACTCACCATCACCACTCACCATCACCACACACCATCACCACTCACCATCACCACTCACCATCACCACTCACCATCACCACTCACCATCACCACTCACCATCACCACTCACCATCACCACTCACCATATGTGTTGCAGTCACTGCCAGACCAGCATGGGTAGCAGTGACAGCCTCTGCCAGCCTCTGCCTGCTGCCGCCTGCCGTGCCTGCACCTGTCAGGGTATACAGTCTTCCATATATTAAATATTGTCATATATACTTCCAGGGTTCATATATACTTCCTTCCACGGCAGGCGGTATATATTACCATATATACCGCCTGCCGTGCCTGCCTCTACCGAGTATATAGTGTTCGATAATAAAATATTATCAAATATACTCTGATATATTTACATGTAAATTACATGTAAATATATGCGCTGTTATTATTATGTGGTGGATATGAAGAGATATACTAAATTAATTCTCTAGATATAAATAGATATACCTGATTTTTTTTCCTAGTTATGAATAGATATACTAAACTTCTTTTCTAGCCATCAATAGATATACTTAACTTCCTTTCTATATTTATTTTTTTCTAAATATATTTACTTAATTTTCGCAAAAAAATCAATTTGGAGTGTATTTTATTGGATATACATCAAATTGTTCTAGAAAATCCCTGATTTACACTGATTGAATGCATTCCTGTTGCTTTATTTGGCATTCGTGTCCTAGAAAATGTCCTATGAATTTTGCTATTATTATATACAGAAGTTAAGCGATTACATCCCTAGTTAGATAATGCATTTTTTAAACATAAAACTGAAGCCCCTAACACCAATATATGCACAACAACTCTCGTGTATTCGGAACCACTGCTAAAAATATGAACCTTTAGAGCCTGAGAATATTTGATACCAACTCATCGTAAGGATTAATTTAAAATGACATTCAAAACTCGGACTACGAATTTTGCCTTCCAAATTTTCAATGGATAAAAATGAATCCATAAATTTAAAATACAAAAACACCTGTAATCCTATTTAAAGATGTAACAACATTTCTAATTGTAACACAAAAATGTGAAATTGAGAAGTGCGAATTATATTCAGATAATAATAATCATTCTCTGATAGAAATTAACTATAAAATTCGAAAAAATATTTTCGAATTTCGACTCAAATTTTCAAAAGCAAGATTTAAGAAATAAAAACCAACGTATGAAAAGTCATATATTAAACTGACGTCCCAAGAGCTTATATTTAGCAGGTAAAAGTACCGCGCACTTCAAAATATTCAAAGGATTAAAAACTCACTTTCTTCCCCGAATGTTTTTTATTGCACGCACTAGAAGATAAAAAAATTCAGCTCACTTGAACGCTCTAAAATAATTCGTTGTTCCGCTCTACAACTTGCGTCAACATTTTCTTCGGGTAATTCTTTACGCTCACTTTTTTACGAGAAATTCTGCTTTAAACTATTTTTTTGTAACTGAGGTAAATTAGGAAGAGAGGGTATTATATTTTTAGTTAATGGAGAACTTTAGGCCTATCAAATTTGGATACTATCATGGATAAGTATTTGTGTTCAGTACTAAATTATTTTGATACCTTCTCTGTTATGGGTAAACGTGTGGTTTAGTAGTCATTTCAATAGAATATTTGAAAAACTTTTCCATGAATACTATTAAAGAATAATGTAGAAGTATATAATATATATTTTCACTATGTAAATACGGACAAAAAGCCATTTGCCTTCCTAATTTTATTGATGGAAAATTCAACCTCAAAAAATTGATATATGTACATGCACTGGCAACTGAAAAACTTCATTAATCATCAGTAAATTTTATAAGACTGAAATTAATTTGATTAATATTTCAGACAAATTGCCAAGTGGGAGCGCTTAAATTAATAATTATGTTAGACTGGATAATATTTATTATTGACAATAATACCGTATAGCCGTACCATGACCCACTTATCATGACCCACTTATCATGACCCACTTATCACGACCCACTTATCATGACCCACTTATCATGACCCACTTATCACGACCCACTTATCGTGACCCACTTATCATGACCCACTTATCATGACCCACTTATCATGACCCACTTATCATGACCCACTTATCATGACCCACTTATCATGACCCACCCCGTATCACTGATGCTGTCGTTCCATGACGGCTCGCCTTCATCGCTCTGCCATCGTCCGTCTGAGAACTTTTCTGTGGAGCATCAATTAGTGAATTAATTAATTAATTAATTAATTAGTAAAATATTCACCAGTGCTTGATAATTAAGCATTATTAATTCATACACATATAATGAAAATTAATTATTATATATATATAATGAAAATTAATTTTAAATAATAGATGAAAAATGGAAATTAAATGATATCACAATATATTAATTAACAGAAAATATCCATGTTTCCAAGAAATTATTAATGACACCGTGCATGCAAATTTATTCCTGCCTTCAGAAAGATATATTTTCCATTGAAATATTTCACTTGGCATATCGAAAAATCTTAGATGTGACTTTTCTTGCAAAATGAAAGGTATTGTTCATAAGAATCTAATTCTTATCCTGTGTAGAAATAAACGCCTAATTTCTAATCTTCAAGAGAGCCGACTAAACTTTTTTGTTGAGGCATTTTTTCAATTTTCTTTCAAAATCAAAATATTAAAAATTTTACTCGTTGCAAAAAAAATATTTCTATTTTATTATTTTCCGAAACAAAATCGGTTAGGCGGCGACCAGAAAACGCCTGATCTTGTCAAGATGCTGACAGTTTTTTCTTACCTTCAAGTGAACGAAAAATCGCGTTTCTTGAACTCAAAGTTTGCAAAAAGATATTCAAATTTAGTCCTTCAACATTCCTTCTCCACTCCCTAAAAAATTTTAGCGAAGCTTTATGTTTTTTTTCCTGACGTTATGAACATATAAGCTGCTTAAACTCAAAGATATGAGTGAGGCTTTGTCCAAATAGCGACACACTTATCGGCCACGTAGTGGGACATCCTGACCGAATTTGACCTGGTAAAAGAGCGTATCAGTGCTACGTCGTGCTGCTGTGGATTGGAAATTGTGTCACTATTCGGACAATATGACCCATTCGTTTATCTGAGTGTAGAAGGACCCACGACAAAAATACCCTAGGCCGTAGCCAGTAAACATTGACACGTCGTCAAAACACTGCATTTTTTACCCCGAAACTTTGTAGGTCACGGGGAAAAAATATAGACACGGGGAAAAATATGGACACTTAGGTGGGCGAGCCTCGTTCTATTGCGGGGCTAAACTGTCCAGCTTTTGAAAACCCGGCCGTTTTGAATGAAAAACAAAGATTTTATCGCTAAAATGAAAGCCCTGGAAATTTTGTTGCGGATGATGAAAGGAGCGGAAATATTTTCCAGTGTTACGAAAATATTGTGTTTAATCAAGGCTCGTCAGAAAGCCTTTGATGTACTAAAATAACTTATAAAAAAGCATGATGAATGGCAGAAAAATTTAGCGTGTGAGGTGTACTCAACACGCATTAATTCTGACGCATAAATCATACAAAATTACGACATTTTTTGATGTAATTAATTGTTATAATTTTATGTTCATATCTATTAATAATGAAATATAGTTAATCAAACAGTGCAATATATATTTATCCCAAAAACAAGGCCACTGACGATCGCAACCTTATGATCCAAATTACAGTATTTTACAGTTTTTTAATTATCGATAACTACAAGCAACAGTTCATAAATTAGTAAATAACAACAAAATAATTAATAAATTAATGAATTCATATATTAATTAAGGAGAAAATATAATTGTTTTCGTAGTAAAAACGCAATGAACAAGTAGTATCTAAATAAATAAAAATAATAACCATACAGAATTTCATAAATTTTCAACAGTTTCAATGATAAGGAAAGAAATTGATTACATAAGAAAAAATGTTATGAACAAATAGTATCTAAATTATAAATTAAAATAATAACCATACCGAATCACATTTTCTACAGAAAAAATTTTTCCTCAATTTTTTTAATTTAATTTTTTTTCATTCTTTTAATCTTTCAATTCAATTACCATTTTTTAAATTTTTAATAACCGAACCCCCAGTACTCACCCTGCACCACGTAGCACCGTGTACGCCCCCACAATACAATACGGCCCCCAGTACTCACCCTGCACCACGTAGCACCGTGTACGCCCCCACAATACGGCCCCCAGTACTCACCCTGCACCACGTAGCACCGTGTCCGCCCAAGTACTCATCCTGCACCACGTAGCACCGTGTACGCCCCCACAATATGGCCCCCAGTACTCACCCTGCACCACGTAGCACCGTGTACGCCCCCACAATACGGCGGCCGTGACGAGCAGCAGCAAGTTTTGCTTCCAGCGCAGAGCGTCGCTGCTGAGGAGGAGAGCCATCGCTTGTGCTGCTGCTGCTGATCCTGGACCGCTGGAGCGGCTAATTAAATTCTCAGTCGCTCTGATTGTCGGTCTGATTGTCGGGCAATAACAATCAGTTATTGAACAGATTATCTTTTGTTTATGATCGTGAGGTAGTAACTTTTATAGACTGAATTTAGAAAGAATTTCCAATCGTTTGATGATCGAGGAGCAATCAGTTGTCGGATTGTGGTTCATACTGTTTGTGATCGTGAAGAAAAAGTTTATTAATTGAATTTCCAGTAGTTGATCATCGTGGAACAATCACTTGTCGGTCTGAATTTCCAGTTATTACACTGGATGTGCTGAATTGATCGTTGAACAATGAATTGTTAGACTGAATATGCTATTCGTTGATGGACTGAATATGGATACGTTGCTGGTCAAGAAGCATTCTGTTGTTAGAAAAACTTTAAATAGTTTGTGATAGCAATAATTTTATAGACTGAATTTCCAGTCGTCGATGACCGTGGAATAATTTTTTGCTTGGAAATTTTTTTGTGTGGAAATTTCCAGTCGTTGGCGATCCAGTAACAATCTTAATTAATCCAGTTATTAATTTAAGGATATTTGAAACCAATCAGTAGAGGTGCCAAAATGTCAGCTATTGAGATAGTAGATCAATCAGTTGCTTGACTTGATTGACAGTTGTTATTGGCCGTGAAACATTCATATACTCGCTTGTATTGATTGAAAGCGATAGTGATATAAAAAAATTCTTCAATGATTCCTAAAAGATTGATAAATTTGAACAGATGTTAAAAATTATTTAATGCACCGTATAGATTCTGTTGTATTTTTATGAATCCTCTTTCTTTTTCCAACCACTGCGCTGGATTATGACCAACTTTTTCTTATTGAGAATAGAAGTCTTTTCTAGCTAGAGTTCATGTATTAAAATTAGAATCTGTTGGTATTTTAATTGGAAATTTCAATCTTAATTTTTTTAATTAATCTAACGTTCTAGAATTAATTTATGCTTATACCGAACTGAAAAATTTCCTAGAAGTGGTTTCTGTTTCCCTGGAAAATTCTCATTCATTATTAATAAGCAATTAATAATATCTTCGTTGCGAATAATTCGCGTGAATAAGTAAGCCCTAATTAAAATAATGTAGCGTGATAATACAGATATATATTTTTATATATCATTACTCAGATGTCTATTATTATAAGGAAAAGTGTTTTCTTCAATAATTAAATATGATTTTATGTATATATTATATTCTTCTTCACTAATTTATGTGATTTTATATGTGATTTTTTGAAGAAAATTAGACTTAAAATCTATTTAAATTTTTTAAGAAAGAAATCAATATTTAATACGTAAAATTATTAAATAATTTACATTTTGTGTGCTAATGCATTAAGCTATGCTGGTAAAGCTTCAATGAAGAGTTCGAATACGCATAATAAATCGGGATTAAATGAAAATAGGTTCATATATATTTCGTCCTTAGCATAAGTGAAGTCATAATCTCGTAGATGCAAAAATTAGAGAGGTAAAAAAATTTTATTCGTGATGAAACCAAATCAGAAATATTTTCTATTTACTTCTTTTGAAAATTTACAATAATAATTGTTATTTCCTTGACTGAATCGCATTTGTTTGTGCAGCGATGATTTATTTTTGAAAAATTAACCTGAATTATTTACCTGATATTTTTATTACAAATATTTTCGCGCTTCTTCTTGGCTGCATTGACTTACAAATGCGGAATAATATGATACGAATATCTTGGATTTTAATATATTATGAAATCCACTGAAATATTGCGACATTTTCCTCAGTTGCACCACAATTATACAGATTAAATCATTATATTCCGGAACAAAATTAAATTAATTGCGGAATTTTTCTAACGGCATCATAATCACCAACAGAAAAAAATTGAGTCACTGTGAAAATCACTAACATTGCGTAAAATTTTACTCAGCTGCACTGCAATAAATAAAAGAATAAAATGGTGCAGGTACACGTGAATTTTTATGAACTCTAAACCAATCAAACATTATGTAAAATTTTCCTTGGCTTCATTGAGCTAAAATTCACAGTAAAAATGTTGGTAAGGACATGAGGAAGTGGCAATTTCTCGCCGCTTTCTTGCCATCAATCATCGGCTGATAGGATTGGGCGGCGACGCCACGGCAGAGCCGAGAACTGCAGCGCGGGCTCCTGCCGAGCCCATACATCAGGTAGTGCATTAGGAGGGCCACCGTGCTACGTAGACCGACCGAAATACAGCCAGGGTTGACTAAAACGCGATGCGTCGAGAAATACTTCGATAAAACCGACCGAAATACAGCCAGGGTGGCCAAAACCGCGATCCATCAAGAAATACGTCGATAAAACCGACCGAAATACAGCCAGGGAGGCCACAAATGCGATGCGTCAAGAAATACGTCGATAAAACCGACTGAAATACAGCCAGGGTAGCCAAAAACGCGATACTTCAAGAAATACGTCAATAAAACCGACTGAAGGACACTGAGGCTAGTAAAAAACGACATATCTAGTAGTACTTTAGGTGGACTGACCGAAATAATTCGATGACAGCAAAATACGCCTTAATACGCAGAATACATCAAGTAACATATTATAAAGACCGACCGAAATACACCGAGGAGAGCGAAATACGCTATACATTAAGTAGCATAGATGAAGGACTGGCCGAACTGTAGCGAAGACATTATAAAACGCGGTTCATCAAGCAACTCATCACGAAAATCGATCGAGAATGATGGAACACCCAACACCGACACCTGGCGAAGAACCGAAATGCCCCATGCCCGATACGTCAAGAAATTCATTGAAAATAGCTAACGAAATCTTCAAAAGCAGCAAAATATTTCATTCACCAAGAAATACATACATCAAGAAAACCTACCAAAATATATCAAGTCCAGCAAAATCTCCGATAGACTAGGTAGAATATATTGTGAAAACTGATAAAAATACGTCGAGGCTGGCAAAATGTCATGAATATCGAAGAATTCAGTAGGAAGACAAACCGAAATACATCTATTAGGCGAAAATATTTGATACACCGAGAAATATGTTAGGGAGACCGATCAGCATACAGCGATGCAGGCGCAATACCCAGGGCATCCCGAAATATATCAAGAAGATCGGTTGAAATGCACCGTGGCTTGCGAAATACGTTAGCCGTCAGGTGGTTCATTACGAAGACTGACTGAAATAAGTGGAAGCCATCAAAATATCCGAAACCTCACGGAATACGCTTAAAATATTGACCGAGATACATCGAAGCTGGCTTAATAACCTATACATCTTGTAATACGTTGGTAAGACCAAACGAAATTACTCATTTATCAAGGTCGGCGAAATGCCCGATATATTTTGAAATACATTAAGAAGACCGACTGAAGTACTCATTTATCGAAGCTGGCGAATACCCGATCAATTTTGAAGTATATCAAAAGACCGACTGTAAAGCATCACTATTGCGAAACAGTCAAAGAAAGTAGACCGTAATATATGTAATACCGCGCTGAATTTCAGGCTAATTACCGAAGAATATCTTCTGCGATGCGAGGCGAGACTCGTGAAGCTTCACAAAGACTCTCACTTCAATGGCAGCTCCCGTCTACCTGTAGAAATCCAGCCCAGCCTTGGACCGTGGCAGCTCACAACGATCTTTATTCTCATTCAAAACCAATCAATGAAATATACAAGTTCATCACAATCTGAACACCCTGTGAGAATCAGTCGCTCCAAGGAACACAAATAACCTTTTAATTTTTAACTTGATGATAATTGTTGGAAATGGTTGCATTATTTGATGATAAAATACTGAATCTAATTAACTTTTAGTTGCAAACGTTGATTGAAGTCTACGGGATTTAGTACTAAAATTCGAATAACATGCACGCAGTCGAATAAATCTACGGAATTTACTCCGAACATTTAAATACAAATTGCGGCATGAATTGGTCGATGATAGCTTGATTTTATTCAGCAATCCTTATAAAAATCAGCTCGTTCAAGCTTACCAAGTTCTGTACACATTCTTAAAAACAGCCCATATACATGGACCGTAAACCAGCCTATATAAATGGGCAGTGCAAATCCACCACGAAGTATATACACTGCAAGAAAACAGCCCCTCTATAGAACATGCCTGTTCATCACGGACTGGACACCTGAAAAAAAGCAGACAATCCACGGAAAGTGCCACTTCATCACGATCTGTGTGCGCTGTAAAATACATAAAATATAGCCCATAA